CACACACCACACTCAGCAGAACACACCACGCTCGAGCCCACACACCTCCCACGCAACCACACGCCATGCAGGACTTTGTTGAGGCTTTGGACGTGGTGGCAGAGGCTCTCCAGAAGGATGACCAGCAGCACCCAGGTGTGTACGTGTGTGTGTGAATGTGAATGTGAATGTGAATGCGTGTGTGTGAATGCGTGTGTGTGTGAATGTGTGTGCGTGCGTGAATGTGAATGTGTGTGTGGATGTATGTGTGTGAAGTGTGTGTGTGAATGTGAATGTGAACATTGTGCGTGTGTGTGCCCTCGTTGGTTCTGCCATCTCAGCTGACTTGCTGCTGTCGGTTTCTTTTGGGGTGTTTCTCCCCTTCCACGACTCCCATGACATCCATGGCTTGCTGTCGTGACTGCCTTGCTCATGACCATATTCTGTCCAACGTTCACAGCAAACTCGAGCAAAGCCGTTCCTCCGCTGGACCCGACATTCGGCACACTTCTTCGTGAGTACAAAAAGGGCGTGTGAATGTATGGGTGTGTATGTGCGTGTGTGAGGGCGTGTGTCTGCATTTTTCCAGTCGCTTTGATGTGGTGCTCGGTGAGCCCCACCTCACAGGTACATTTGTGTTTATGGTTTTCCGCATTGACAGAGAGCATTGCAAACGCAGCGGCACATGACCTCCGCAAGTTGTTTGTTGCCACCATGAAGCCGCCAGTGAACCAAGACGTGAGAGAGCTGAACAGCGATTGTAGTTTTGTGTTTGTGCATGTGCATGTGTGCATGTGTGTGCGCGTGTGCGCGTGTGCATGTGTGTGCATGTGCATGTGTGCATGTGTGCATGTGTGTTTGTGCATGTGCATGTGCATGTGTGTGCGCGTGTGCGCGTGTGTGCGTGTGTCACATTCATCTTAATGCGTTTGTTGTGTTTGCTCAGGACGTCAAGGCCATTTGCGCGGAGTGCAAGAACACCAGCGTCATGCTTGTTGCACACTGCACCAATGCCCTCACACAGAGTGCAAGAACACCAGCGTCATGCTTGTTGCACACTGCACCAATGCCCTCACACATGGTGTGTTTGTGTGTGCGATGCGAGTTTGTAGCGTGATGTTGTTGGTGATGCGATGCCGACACGCATGCTAACCTGACTTCTTTTGGTTGCGTTGTGTGTGTGTGTGTGTGTGTGAATGTGTGTGTGTGTGTGTGTGTGTGAATGTGTGTGCATGTGTGTGTGTGTGTGCATGTGTGTCAGGCACGGCGCTGCACGACGCCATGCTGCCGCTGGTGGAGGCGTACCTCAACACAACGCGTGCATGGGTCCGCGCACTCATCCAGAACAACAGCATCGGCACAGCGTGAGTCTACCACCTGTGCGCACGTGTGTGTGTGTGTGTGTGTGTGTGTGTGTGTGTGTGTGTGTGTGTGTGTGTGTGTGCGCGCCAAGTCATGCCCATGCGACTCCCCCACGAGCATCTCACATCTGCCTGCTTGTATGTGTGTGTGTGTGTGCATGTGTGCATGTGGTGTGTGTCAATTCCAGGGCGTCGCAGCAGCTGAGTGGGCCGCGTGGAGGCCGCCGTCAAGCAGCTTGCCGCAGCGCCACCGAGTGCGTAGCGCTGAGGGCCGGCCCTCTCTGTGTGATGTGTGGTTGTGTGTGTGATGTGTGGTTGTGTGTGTGCGTGTGTGTGTGTGTGCGTACGTAGATGTGAGCGACC